ACAAAGTCCACATAACAAGTTCATTGTCATTCAGTTCGGGTTTTGTGTACAGTGGCCTGAGAATCGGTTTAGCTTTGCAGCTACTAAGCAGCACAGGAGCGGCTCCCGTCACAGCCTAATCACACAGGTCCTCTTGCTTCTCGTGTCCCGTGCCACCTAATTATCACCCCGCAATGTCTAAATTGCACCGCTAGCAGAAACGCGCCCTGGTCAGCTCCGCGCACATCCTCTTCCAGCTACAGAATAAATGATTCTCCAAGAAAGATTTTTTTTAAAAACAGGATTTCCTGTCATTTCCTCTCTCCGGTGACCCCCGGAGTCATCTTCCCGGTGATGAGAGGTATATTAGCTTTAAACAAGCCAATGAACAGACGTTCCCTTATCCCCCCATCGCCCCTTTCACACGCTAACAATAGATGACAAAGCGGCGAAAGCCATTTACGTGGAAAGTCGCCGTTTCGGGGGAAAATAGCGGGCAGTAAAAATTTTCCCCCGCCTCTCCGCCAGCGCTGCCCTCTCTCTCCAAATCACCCGCCGTAATGTTAATTCTCATAATACGATTTGTCTTATTTTATTGCCTCAATTACAGAGATAATCCCAGAAACGCAATTCTATGATAATCCGGCGCCATTTCCATAGTAATCGATCTTGTATTTATTACACAAGAGATACGTTTCCGCCAGACATCTATTATAATGAAAATCGCTATTATTTCAGATTGCTTCTTTAATAGAGGCATAAAGTAAAGCCTGGGGTATTAGAGGAAATAATCACAATTCCTTTTCGGGGGTGGAAATCATTCCTCTGCACCCTCGTCTGCCGACGCAGGCGAAAAAAAAAGAGAAAGAAATTGGATTTGGCGATTCGGAGAGCGTTATGGACACCCGGCACTCCGGTTACCCCATCTGAGTACAGAGGTCACCACTTCCCCGTGTGTACAGGAGGCCATCGCTGGACTCTGATCGGTGAAGGATAAGCACGCGTTGGAGAGTTGTAGTTCCTTTCCGTATATTATCGATACAATGTTTCTCTATTCTCTTTCTGTATATTCTTTATTTATTACAATAGTGTAAGCCAGTTGTAGGCATGACTCGTAAAATAACAACAACTTTCTCTGTTCTTTATAACTATTGATGCGCCGATACCGATACCAAGTATTTGGGCAAGTACTCATACTCGCCTAAATGCTCCGATACCTTCCCCGATACCTTCCCCGATTTCCTCTGACTGGCAGTGCCGAAGGGGAACATGGAGCCGGCTTCCGCGTGCGATCAGGAAGCCGGGCGGCGAGTAATGACCCGCCTCCCTGATTGGCCAGGAAGCCGGCTCCATGCCGATTGGCCAGGAAGCTGCCTTTCCAGCCAATCAGCATCGAGATGGCTTACCACCCAATCAGGAAGTTGGGAGGCGGGTCATTACTCGCCCGCCAGGCTTCCTGACTGGCCGGAAAGCCGGTTTCCCAGCCGAGCACAGTCAAGCCGGCCAGACAACATGGAGCCAGCTTCTCGGGCAATCAGATTTGTCCAGGGAAGCTGGCTCCATGCCAGCGGAAGCCCCGGTATCGGTACTGACGAGTACCGAAAGCAAAGTATCGGTACTCGTAAGCGATACCAAAAAAACGGCATTGGTGCATCCCTATTTATAACTTTAGGACAAGTAGAAAAAAAAAAAAGAGCTGAACTAGCACCAAGTCAATAGTTTATTCGAAAATGAGTGCCTGGAGGCTCCGCCCTTGACGCGTTTCACCCACAGCTGGGCTTAGTCGTAGAGGAATGGAATCTGTAAAAGGGCCGAGGGGGACATTTCTACCAAATACATGTCAGAAAGAATCAATCTCCCTTCTTAAAGAGACAAATACACAGCTATTCAGATACTCAAAATCAATGTTACATTCCTTAAATAGGAAATATCCAATTCTACAGATCTGTACATGTAATAAATGGGGGAGGGGGAACTGAAGG